TATATATATATATGATTACCGGATAGAATATAACTTTGAAGATCACTGATTTAGAAGAGTCGAAACCACATGGCATCCTTCATATGGCCGAGACTAAAATCTTGTTTATAGTTTTCTTGAGTCGCATATAATCTTACAGTTCAAGACGGTAATGGACAGTCTAGCTGATTCCATTGTTTCGTTCGAATTAAATATATAACTTTTTATATTAATATTTAACTGTGAAACATTTAAGATAAAATACAATTGTACTTTTTTAATCTTTTTACTTCTAGGATATGTAACGTGAGAAAAATGAATTATTGTAGAGCAAATCATTTTTATATTTTATTGGCAAAAATAAATATTAATAAATCTAAAATTAATTAACAGACAATTGAGAGCTAGGAATAGACACAGTTATTCATGCATATATATTAACAGTATTTTATGAAAAAAGGTCTTACATTAAATTCGCAAGAAATTTCGCAAAAATCGAAATCCGACGTTTAGCTCCGTTCGAGTCATCATCAGGGATGTCAAACAATGGATGTAGACATTATTCACAATAAGATTCAAGTGAGCAGAAGCCAGAAGAGATTTCTTACTTCTAACGGCGTAGTATTGCTCAATTTTTTAACATTATTCTCTATATTCTTAATTGATTAATAACAATTTCTTTTTATATTATAAGAGGATAATAAAAAAATTACTGTCGAGCTGTAATAAACAATGAATATTACTTGGAATAACATTTTTCGATATAAATCATTATTTATTTTTTATTGAGTCTATAGAAGACAAGCCATTTGATTTGAAGAAAAATAAATATTTAATATTAATAACGTCAATTTACTTGGCTCGTTACCCTCTTTATATTTTTTATACTGTTCTATACATATTAAACCTTATAATTACTTTTATTTTAATATTAATATTAATCAATTTGTTATACTGCTAAAAGAAAAATAAGTATAGTATACCTCTCTTTCACGATAAAACTCAACAAATATATAGCACAATTTCATTTGTTTCGTCAATTTCATTTGTCAATTTCATAGCATGTGTTTGCAACTAAATATATAATTCTTCTATTAAGTATTCATTTATTCCTGTTTCAACGGGCGGTATTTATAATAAAAGGCAGAGGCCATGATGCTAAGACTCAGTATACTCGAGATTAGAAAGTATCCTGCTAGGTATACATCAGCAGACTCCACCAATATCGTAAATACTCTCGCTAAAACATAAATTATTTAAATTCCATTGTTTCCATCATTTTACATATGTAAAACCAGAAACTTACTCAGATTAGTGAAGCAGGATAAAAACCAAGTGAGAAGCGATATCGATTCTGCGTTTTTAGTTTCAAGTATAGTTTGCAGCTGGCAGATTTTACTGGTAGTTGAGAGTGGCATACATATTGGCTACAAATTCAAGTATATCATGTAAAGAGTGTTTCAAAGCAATGGAAGAATTATTTGTAATACTCAACATTGTACCTACCACCAAATTATCAAGTACAGATTTTGGAATAGTTCCTAGTAGAAGACATCTGCTCAGTGTAAAGTATATTATAGCACAAGAAAAGGACCACAAATTGATCTTGTGCGAATATTTTAGCACAAGGAATATCAGTATATACTGCTGCACTATTATTATTGGATATTCCAAGTAGGATAGTAACGAGTAATTATTCGCAAAGTTATAACTAGTCATCAAAGTGTAACTGAAAAATAAATACTAATAAGTTATTCATGAAAGAAACAATTGTGAAAACATTTACAATAGCTTTCACAATTGTTTCTTTAAATATAATCATATGTGAGAAGTATAATCTTATAGAATTACCTTATCAATTCTGCAACTAATCCCTTTATTGATATTTCATTAGCTGATTTTAAGGAAATCAAGTTTAGTATCTGTGGAATTTTCAATATGAAGCACAAGCTAATCGTTATCACGCTCAACAAATCCGCAAATTGTTGCAATAGCGCCATATTCTCGTTTATTCTTGTCCTTTAATTGTCACTACATACACATATGTTTATAAGTTTCAATACAAAGATAATAATTTTATACATTATAATAATTTTTAAATTACATATCGTTAATCAGCAAATCATAATTTTATCTTATCTCTAATCTCTTTATGAACAAGTCAATTTATTGTAATACAATCCATCAGCACATTTAATTTACTTTTCCTAGTCATGTTTCGTGAAATGCCAGTAAGACTCTGATACTGTCACTTCTTCGTCACTAATCAATTGGATAAGAAAATTAAGTACAAATTAAAACCAAAATAAATCACTAATATTATAAATAAACGTACCTCTCTATTCATTATTACGTCAATAGTTGGTGTCAACAGTCGAGCCGGTCGAGCGCAATTGCGGACGTGTCGAGCGATCAGCTGATTCCGTTGGCGCGGAATTTGTACATTATCTTTCAATTCGACCCAGTTCTAGGGCAAATGAAAGATAAGAGCTAGCATTCAAAATTGATTTTCAATTACTGGCGATTCGGTATTAAAATAAAATAAATTTTCCAATGTAGGAAAAGATCTATCGATTAAGTTAATATCATCTCTTGTCTACCTGATTATACTCTCCCTAATATTTTATCTTGCTCCCGATTTCGAAAAATTTGAATTTAAAAAGTTATACTGGTTGGTAAAACAGTAGATGACTTTATCAATAAAGTCGTGCACTGTGTTAACGACTGTCGGTATCTCGCGCGAATCACAAAAAATTTAAATTCTTAAAAATCGGCGAAATATCAAGAGATTATAATCAAATAAAAGACAAGAGGTTTTAATAGAAATTTGATCGATCGCGATTTCAAGGATTTTGAACTAAATGTTCGAAATTAAACTTTAAATAACAACGGAAAATGTGAAGTGAAAAATATATATTTTACATATATAAACAAAAATTGCGAGCATTGCAATTTCGATACTTTTATTCGTTCTCTCTCACTGTCCTACGCACAACACAAGTCCAAATTTGCCACAAAGGTGCAATGTGTTGTCGTGAACGTGAATTTAAAACGTATATATAATGAGCACACGTTCAGCGTTCACTTCACAATTTGGTGCAACTTCACGTGTGAAGGCATTCATGACGTAGTTCGTAGTGATTCGTAGTACTACGTGCAAATCGCGTGCGGCGAGGTTGGCAGCGCCGATTGGCTAGGCGTGACGCTAGGCGCGGAACGCGACGAACCGGACCGTCCGGATCGAGCCGAACATGGTGCGAGGCGAAACGTGAGGCTGCTCCGCGTTGTCTTACAGATATCGATTGGGTCCCGGCGTGGGCACAGCGCGCGTCATGCGGCGATCATGAACGGCGTGCCCCCGCGCGACGACGACGACGACGAGGCCTCGATCGCGAGTGCGCCGCGCCGCGGCCGATTTAGCGCGAGGGGTAAGCGCCACACGGCATCATCGTCCATTCGCCTATCCTATGTCCAGCTCCCGAGCGCGAACGTCCCCCTGGCGTTTTCAGACGTGCAACGTACGCGAGCCAACCTCGGCTCCGTCAACCTGTCCCGTCCTGTCCTTCTCGCCGGGCGCACCTCCAAAGTGTCCTCCGGCCGATTTGTCATTGTGCATTTAGCGCCGAATTGGAGCAGCTTGTTTCTCTCCGGAACTGCTTTCCTGTCATCGATAAGATTCGCGAGAGAGCCGTATTTAGCATTAAACGCGCGATGAAAATCGACACTCGCCGTAGTTGCTGAATGGACGGACTTGGTTAACTGTCGAATGACATCGCGGGAAAATCTTCTGTGATTCATCGAGAGAAAGCTCCAATCTATATTACTTTTTCCCCTCATTTCTTTTTCGGAAGATTAGTCTATGCGTGAATAATTTTAGGATGGGGATTAGCCTTGAAGTCTAGAGTGTCTTTGATCATGAGTAAAATGAATTAATTGACGTTCATGACTCATATATCTAGTTGTGACACTTTAAAGATATCATGACTCATCCTTCCTGCGCGTATGTCGCTCTACAAGCAGCTTACACAGATTGTGCTATCATGTTTTTGTTTTAGGATCGTTTTATCATTGCCAGTTTCTCCCTCATAATGGACCATGCGCAGAGTACAAGCAAACGTACGAATGTAGGATTTGTAAAGCAGTCACATATTGCCTGTAATACTTTTTCTCAGGTTAGACATCTGCAACATTGATTTAAAAGTATTTAAAAAGAAAATTATGTGATTTGCAATACTAACAGTTGTGCTGTTAAATTTTAGGGGGTGTCATGGAAATATCAAAAATTCTGGCTGCTATAGACTTTTCAGTGCATAGGTGAAGCAAACGAATTTGAGATGGACTCCCCACCATCATGTTCGCTAAGCGCTGGGCCTCTCAGTGATCTTGGTAGCAGTGGCCTGGGGGGTTCAATATCTAGCGATTCTGTTAGAGCACATCTTGCGATGGAGGTAAGACAATCTTGAGCAAAACATATTTTGCTCGATATCTTAAAGATATCTTTCCATACAATAAATATATCAAGAAGGAATACACTATCAGCGCTATATTATTTTAGCCTGAATCGTTTATTAGATATAAAACGATAATAGAATAATACTAAAGTGCTAACAGTGCGTTCTCCAAATGCAACCATATACGCTTAATCTCTGAAACAAAATCTTTTTTAGATGCAAGAGAGCGACATAGAGAGCAAGTCCCTATCGCAAGATTCTTTTGATTATTCGGACGGCATGTGCGGCGAGAATTTCAACACCCTAAAAAAGGGCCCAGGCTGGGGCGACGCGGACGGCAAGTTGGAGGTCGAGGGAGTCGACGTGGCGATCAAGCCACCTCCAGAATTTCAGGATAGTCCTTCGCCGCCAGACTCGGAATCTTCGTCGGTGCCGATTCTGAATTACGCGCGACTAATGAGACGCAGAACGCCACGCTGGATCGACGACTATGCCGAGAACCTGGTACAATCGATGATAGAGGAAGCGCTGGCCATTTCTTGCCGCATCTCTTGGCCGGAAGGAAGAATCGCGCCTGTTACGAATCCAGTTTCAGCGGTGACACGGTCCCAACAGACCAACCCTAAACGCATGTGGGATCTAATGACGCCACCAGTATGTCAGGGCGCTGCTACCATCACTATTACCCCATACAATACGCTGAACCGGCCAAACTCACGCTGTTCGCTGGCCTCTTCGCGACTGTCCAGTTCACACAATTCCATCAACACTACTGGGCTTGGCCACAAGGCTGACGACAGCAGCTTCATTACATCCGCGATGTCGCACGATGTGCTGACCACAAGTGAAATTAGCGACATGTACAATGTACCCTTTGATTCAGATATTTACACAGTTCCGATCGATGTGGTGCGGCCGTTGCACGATCTACGAACGCCACAGCGGCCTAAACGGCATCGGCATCATCGCAAAAGACGGCGGAACGTTTCTGCGAGTTCGCAGAGTGAACTGGAGGCACACATTCAACAGGCGCGTCATTATTGTGGCAAACCCCGTGCCATCACGCATGTTATTAAATCACAGCGTTTGTTGGCTGATGTGTGCTGTAACGAGGGCAATCCCGCTGTCGGCAGTGGTGGTGGTGGTGGTAGTAGTAGTAGTGGTGCTGTTAGCGGCAGTTGCAATAGCGGTGCCGGTGGAGGTAGTGGTAATGGTGGCGGTAAACGACACAGCGTGCCGGGTACTTCTGGTCGTCATAGTGTCAGACCATCGAACGGACATGCACATAACATTGGTGAACCGATCCACATGACCTTGCACGAGGTGCGACAGTATCTACAGACATTGTACTCAAGCTCCAGCGATTCTAGCGAGAATAAGATCAAACGGGACAAGGCTCCTCTGCTAGGCCATACACCAGTGCATCTCGCAACGCCTAAGGCCCTCAGTGTAAATAATAATAATAATAGGTGAGTATAATCATTTTCATGGTTTACCAGCAAAAGAATGTTTTTTTCAATAACGAATTTTTATTCTACTGTTTTGTTCTATTTGCTTTTGATATAAATAACTTGAATTAGATATCAAAATATTCTTGGCTACTGTCAAATTGGCTCTGTCATTAATCTAATAATATCTAATGCTGTCTAATAATAGGTATAACGGTAATGCGCATACGGACTCGTCCACGGACACGCCGGTGTCCAATAAGAGCACTAGTAATGGCCTGATGATCCATCATCACAACAACAACAATAACAATCATAACAATAATAACTCCAATAATGTAAAGAAACACAAGAGGAACGCGTTTGTTGGCATCAGGCACAAGAAAGCGCGCGACGAATCGCATAAGGAGAAGAGCGAATCTGAGCGAGAGAAGATGAAGAAGAGTCAGCGTAATTTTTCGCTAAATCTTAAGCAAACGCTCTGTAATATCTTCCGATTTCGACGACTAGGCTCGCCGGACCATTTTGTGGAGAAACGAAACAGCATCGTACAAGGAGAGATCGTTGAAGAGGAAGAGGGTGTCGATTCCGATCAGCATACAAACAACAATAATACCGCTCCATCTGAGGTAGAGCCGTCCGCGCAGAAGCTACCATTCTTCAAGCGTGCTTTACCACCTCTGCCCAAGAGTAATAGTCAAGTGGGTGTAGAGCAAGCGGAAGAAGCTCTTACAGCAATGGCACCCAAGTGTGAGTCTCCGAGCTCGGTACAGCAACAAGTTCCGCCGCCTATCGTGCGACCAGAAGAAGATACCGCTGAGGACACGAGTATGGATTTTGCAGCCAGTATCGAGAAAGTGAAGGATGTATGTAAATTTTGTGGTTTTTTTCATTGACTCTTGGTATGAGAAAGAATTACAGAGAGTATTATGTGGTATTTCTGCTTTTTGAAACAGTATGGATGGTATTGGGGACCTATTTCCGGTGAAGCGGCAGAGAAGATACTATCCAACGAACCGGACGGCTCATTCATCGTGCGAGACAGTAGTGATGATCATTATATTTTTTCTTTGTCATTTAGACTCAACAGTTGTGTGCGACATGTAAGGATAGAACATGATCAGGGTAAGTTCTATCACACTATATACAATATTCTTGACTTTTGTTTTCATGCGCGTTTAAATCCATTTCTTTCGATATACAGGTAATTTTAGCTTCGGCAGCTGCACTAAGTTTAAGTCGCACACTATCGTTGACTTTATCGAGAACGCGGTCGAGCATTCACGCAGTGGTCGCTATCTCTTCTTCCTACACCGACGGCCAGTTCTGGGCCCAATGCGGGTACAGCTGCTCCATCCGGTGTCGCGCTTCAAACAAGTACAGAGCCTGCAGCATACGTGCAGGTTCGTCATCCTGAAGATGGTGCGCAGGGACTTGATCCCGACCTTACCGTTACCCCGGCGGCTCATCGACTATCTCAGCACACCCCATTATTACAGCGAACAGCTGGCGGCCGAACAGGACGACCGAGCTGAATCACCGGTCAGCTCGTCGACCGGAGAATTAGAGAAGATCTGCTTCACGCCGCAGGGTCTCTCGTGAGGTACAGCCGTGTGACTTTTCCCTCCTCCGCTCCGCTCTCTGTGCAAAGAGATATTTGCGCCGTACGTCGCTCGCGGCGTTAACGTAAATTTAATTCGCAGTTTAATTAAATTTCGCAACATGTAAAAATTTACATCGTCGTTTTGATTCAAATTCTGTCGATATGCAAAAATTTAAAAGATCGCTGAATTAAATTTTGGCTGGATTAATACGGAATTTCATTTGTAACTGCATTAAAATGTTATTAATGTATAATTCACTTTACAATTCAATTAATTTATAATTTATATTAAAGTATAACACACATACAACTTAATTTTTCAGCTTAATTAAATATATCAGGGTTGCCACAAGTCAGAGAAGTCACAAAAAGTCTGGGAAATTAGAATAGCTGCAGCTATACATTGTTAGTCTTTACACTTTGCTGTGATCCTTTTTGACCTTTTTTTTTTTTGGAAATCGATTTCTCCCAAGAATCAGCATCTGTGTACAATTGCTAAAAATTACAAGAAACATTGCAAAGTGTGTATCATTCGAGGTCAAGGAAAATCTAAAAATTTTGTCAGTAATCCAGGAAATATCAGGAAATTTAACGATTACAAATTTGTGGCAACCCTGTATATGTACAAAAATGCTGCTGAATTAAATTTTTTAGTCAATATAAAGGAGTTTAATCGATAATTTAATTGAATCATCATTATTATTATGTAAAAATTAATAATTGAATGAAATTTTCGTTTATATGCCGAAATTTAAATTCGTGACTTGAATTTTTGCTATTGTTAACGATATGATGTACGATTAATGATTTTGCGCTTGTGATTTTGACTTCGACGATTTACGGCGTATCGATTCGTAAAGTGAGTATTGTGATTAAACTTGAAAGTAGAGGAATATATATATATATAAATATAT